TCGTTTCGCTGATTCGAGTTTAGAATTTGAGTTTTGCTACAGTAAAAAGCTCTCACAAACAATCACATCTAACTTTTTTACTACAGTAAAAAGCTCTCACATACAATCACATCTCAACTCGAATTCTAAACTCGAATCAGCGAAACGAACGAGGCCATAGTTTTTTTTCTTGGACAGAATACTCTGAACTATTTTTTTTATAAATATTTTTAGGCCTCGTTCACTTTGTGAATTTGAATTTTTAATTTGAATTGATATGTGATATTTTTTTATAATTTTTTACTGTAATAAAAAAATTAAATATGACAATTTCTGAAAATTTTTTACTGTAAAAACTTAAAACTAAAAATTTAAATCGCTGAAATGAACGAGGTTAATCCTCCCAAGTGCAATAAAATTGTTGGAAGATTTAAATTTCGTATAGATAATCACACATCATAAATAGTTATATTAGGGTATTTAGTTCACTGATTCGAGTTTTAAATTTAATTTGAGATGTGACTTTATGTGAGAATTTGTAACTGTAACAAAAAAATTAAATGTGAATTTTTGTGAGAATTTGTAACTATTGTAAAACTGAAATTAAAAACTCAAATCGGTGAAATAAATGTGACATAAATGCCCAATATTATAATTTTCAATAGAATTTAGTAGAAGTGTATATAATATTTTGTACATTATGTAACTATTTTTATAAAATTTCAAGCTATCGTAAAAGGAAATGTTTTTTTATAAAGATTCTTTTAAATAGAAATTAGAGAATGAAATAACTAGAAAAAAAGAGTGTTAGATAGAAAAGCTAATATAGATGTTACGGGTCGAATTTTTTTAATTTCATTGATATTTTCCATCTCGAAATTTAGACACATTATACTATATACTATAAGAGGCACTGCACCGTTTTCACTGTTCTTTAAACAGTATCCGGCCCTCTTTTTTCTTATCATTTTCAAAAATTTCTTCTGTATCCCTTATTATTATTTTTTTACCGTTTTGTCATCAATTTCATATTTCTTCTCTTGTTTTCTTTTGGGCGCTTTCGTCATCTTCTATGAATTGTTTATTCTACCTTGTGATCTCTGCTATTTCTTTCGCTGAAGCTTCTAGGCCTCACTTTCTCTAACTTTCTGTTGTGTTTGAAGTTATTTTTATTTTTGTTTTTACGTTTTTCGAGAAAAAAATAAAAACAGGAGAGAAATGGTGTTTGGCACAATTAAAGATAAAAAATAAAAATAAAAATGATTTTTTGGTTTAGTGTAAAATGAGAGAGAAATGAAAAACGACTTTTAGTCATTTTTCATTTTTTTGTTTCCGTTTGCTCCTCTAGAGAGCAGAGAGAGACATTAATAGATTTTTTATACTTAAAATAATCTTTTGATAAAATACCAAACGCATTTTTAAAAATAATTTTTGTCTAAGATTCAAAACGTTTTCATTTATATTTTCATACAAAAAATAAAATCATTTTAGAATGAGTTCCAAACGCAATCTCTGTTCTTTCTTTCGCTGAAGCTTCTTTCCTTCATTTCTTCTCAACGTTTTCCCTTTTTCTTTCTCTATGTCTGCATCTATTATGTTTTTTTTCTTCGCCTTCCTTTTTTTTTCTCTTTTCATTTTCATTTTTTCCCGATCTTCTATTTCTGGGTTTGGTTGTGTTTTTTTCTGTGGTGTTTTGGGGCTTTGTTCAGGTTTCTTAGGGTCCATTTAGTTCGTTAATTTGAATTTTTAATTCAAGCTTTTTACTAAAGCAAAATTAGAATTCGATCGAATCGGTGAAATGAACGGACTTTATATGATATATGGGTCAAGCTTATGGGTTATGTTTCAGTAGAGTTCCTAAGTTTTCTTCTCTCTGAAAATTTTTTATTTCTTTTTTTTTTCGCCGTCTGGCCATTTTCTGTTCTTTAGGGCTTTCCTCCTTTTTTTTGTTTTTGTTTTTGTTTTTGGGTTATTTTTCTTCTTTGTTCCGCTGCTTTGCGGACTAGTTCTGTGATTTTTTTTTCCTTCTAATTTTTTCTCCTTAGGGTTCCGTTCTTTCGTTGAAAATTAGATATTTTGTTTAGGGTTTTTATAATAATGGTTTTATTTTTTTTACTTACGTTTTTCTTCATTCTTCTTCTTCTTTATCTTCGTGTATTTTGGTTCTTCTGTCATTTTGATGTTTTATTCGTGATAAGCTTTTGAGGTTTTTTTTTTTTCCTTCGGATAAACCTTTCCATATATCTTATTTTTTTCTTTTGTTTTTCAGACTTTTTTTTTCTTCTTCTTTCCTTATTTTTTCTTTCTACCGGTTATTTCGATATTTTTTCCTCCCATCTCTTCGTTTGTAATATTTGTGTTACTTTTCTGGGTTCTCTTTCCGTGAAGCTTCTAGGGTTCATTAGCTTTGTAAATTGTTTCCTTTTTCGTGTTTTCTGATATTTTTGGTTTTCTTACTCCCTTTTTTTCCGTCTTCTTCTTATTTATTTTCCCTTTGTTTAATTTTTTATGGTCGGATGCTTGAAGTTTTAAAAAGCTTGATTTTTTCGTTTTATCTTTTTTCTCGCTCGTCTATTCCGGTTGTTTTGTCATCTGTACTCGGTTCATAAGTTTTTTTTCTTCTTTTTCTGTTTCTGGAGATTTGTTTTTGTGTTGTCGTTTTCGTTCTTTGTTTTTTATGTGTTTTTCCTTATCCTGTAATTTTATATAAGGGATATGTAATTTTTTTATTGTTTGTTGATTATTGGTTCTGTTTTCTTGTGATTTTCATGCAGTATGCAATGTAACACCTGTTTTTTTATTAATCATTACATGAGTTCATCTTTGTTTCCAGGTTTCTTATCGAGGAATGATCAAATATTTGTTTTTTACATTCTGTAATTCTTTCTAACAGATTTGTCTTTTTTACTGTCGGTTGGTTATTGGCTCCGTTTTCGGATAGTTTTCATGCTGCGTAACATCTATTTTTAACTAATTATTATATCTGTTCCGTTGGAAATGCTTAGAAATTTCTTCGGTTTGTATAAATATATTGTGTTTTATTTTATGATTACCGTCTCTCATTTTACCTCTGTTTTTGTTTTCAGACTATTATAATCCATCTTTTCTACATTCTCTTTTAGACTGTTTTGAAGTTTTTTTTTTGTTATCATGCATCTACTCTATCCATTTTTCTTCTTCGGCTGAGGTACTTCTTTCTTACTTCTTTCATGTTATTTTTAACTGTTTTAAATATTATATGTATTATATTATTATGATTTGTTATGTATATGTTCAACTGTTAATATATCTGGTTACTGTCTTATTATGTTGTTTTGATTGTGTTTTGATTGATTTTGTTAATATTATTTCTAATTTATTGTTTAGTATTTATGTTATATAAGTTTGTTATTTGAGTAAAATTGAGTTTATATTTAATTTGTAATCTTCTTATGTGAAGAGTCCGTTTTGTGTCTGTTCTCAGTTCTTCTTTGGTCATGATGCAGTATTTTTCTTTTATTTTTTTCATGTATTGAGTAACTGTTAATAGTGATTTAGCAGGTCTTGATGTTGCGCGAATTATTTTAGATTTATGCTTTTTTAATTCTCCTGTTTTGTCAACATTTTGTTTTTCCTTTAGATGCAAGTCGTTTACGGTGATGATGATGTTTCATGCTTTTATTGTTTCCATTTATCGAGTAATTGTTTATAATGATTTAGCAATTTTTGATGTTGCCTGGATTACTAAGGGGCTATTCGGCAACCCCATTTTTGAGTTAAAAATTAAAAAAAAATAACTCGAGTTACAACTTTATTCGAGTTCATGTTCTTTTAAGTTTGAACTCGAGTTTGAACTCGAGTTTGAGACTAAAACTCGAGTTCAAGTTTCTTTTTAACTCGAGTTCAGAAACTCGAACTCAAATTAATGAATAATATTTTTTCTATTCTTAAAAATGCTATAACTTTTTCGTTTTAATTCTGATGGAGATGATTTTTTTTCTATGTGTTAACAATGAAAAGACGAATAAAACTTCACCCATATATCCTATTAAAATTTTCTATCAGCATTGAGTTTTTATTAAAATACTATATAAATACAAATTCAAGTTTTGACTCACTCAAACACAAACTTAAAAAGATTTTTATCTCAAACCATAACTCAAATGTACACAACTAAACACAAACTCAAGTTACAACTTCAACTCAAGTTTATAACTCAAACTCAATTCAAAATCTACACTTAAGTCACCTAATTCAAAAAAAGTAAAAGAACAGCCCCTAAGGATTTATGCTTTTTTGTGATCTTCTATTCTGAAATGGTTTGCCATTTATATAATCTCATTGCAGGGTTTTTGTTTTATGCTTTTACTCCTGCATCTATTCTTGGTTGGCCAGTTTTGATTATTTTGATGCATCTGAAGTTTCTAAGTTTTTTTCCCTTTATTTTTGTTCTTGTCGTTTTGCCCTTGATTTCTTACTACTGTAGTGTTTTTTGCTTGGGTGTTTTCGTCCTTCGCGTCGAACTGAAGCTTTTAGGTTTTGGTTTTTGTTTTTTTCACATTTTCGTCAATGTTTTGGCCTTTGTTTTCTTCTCTAATATTTCAGTCACTCTTCTGGGTTTGGTTTCAGTGAAGCTTAAAATTTCCCTCTTCTCTTTCTTTTGTTCTCTGTAATTCTTTTGTTGGCTGTCCTCTTTTTTTTTGTCCTTAGTATAAATCTTCTAATAACTTATTGTTGAATCGTTTTTTAATTACTTATGATAAATGTTTTTAGCAATAAAACATAAATACCTGAACCGTTTTTTCTTTATTATCCTGTTTCTGTCTCCTTTTCTTTCCTATTTTTGTTTTCTTCTTATTTTGCATAAATTCTTTAATAATTTAGTTGGCATTCAATAATATTGCTAAATCTTATTTCAGTTATTTATGATACGTGTGTTGTTAGTAAGTGAAGATAAATACGCGAACCAAATTTTTTTAAAAATTTTAATTATTGTACATTCTTTAATAATTTAGTTGGCATTGAATAATATTGCTAAATCTTATTTCAGTTATTTATGATACGTGTGTTGTTAATAAGTGAAGATAAATACGCGAACCAAATTTTTTTAAAAATTTTAATTATTATTTTGTAACTGATTAGTATATTTTTACTCTAATCATAAGATAAATAAACAAACATCCGTGCTATTGCACGGATAGCACACCAGTGATTATTATGTTAAAGTTCAGAAATTATTAACCAACTTTAATGTCAAGAACGCAAATAGCTAAAAAAAAATTTAGAATAATTTATTATGATTAAAAGTTTAAAGACTAAAATGTCACAATACTTGCTAATAATCTTTTTTTTTTCCCTCCTCTACTTTAAAGCCACTGCAGCTATGTTACCTACGTATCAAAAGTCCCAAAAGTCGCACAAAACGAGTTGCGACCTTCCAAGAGGTAATTCTTAAAGCATTCATATTTAATTTGAGACGATTGACTTTATTCTACCTATTTACGAAAATGACCATTTCAGTGAGTTTAACAAATTGTTTGCTATTTTGCTCCAAGAATGGATAATTCAGAATATGCAAAAGATATTGTTCTTGACTTGTATTAACTGAAGCTACTTTGGATTTGAGGACAAATTTCTCCTTAGATGTATTCAATGTCAAGCATTTGGTTTGTTTTATGTGCTACAATTAGGGATAGCAATATTTCCCATCGAGATGGAGCTCCACCCTGAATATTTTAGTGGACGTTTGGTTCATGGATCAGAAGTCTGATTCAGAATCATTCTTGTTTTATATGTGTTTTTTGTGAGAGAAAAATACTATAGAGAACTATAAATTATGATTCAAAATCAGAGACGAATATAGAAAACAAACATCCCCTAGTCTTAGAGGACAATTAATAAGGATGTGGGTGGGAATAGGGACAATATACATCTAGTTAACTGGTTGTACACGTCCGGACAACAAACATCTAAATCTAAAATATTATTTTAAAAAGGGAAATTGTAAGAAATAAGCCCACATTTAAAACTTATGGAAGTAAATGACTAATTTACCAATGTATAGAAATTAATAGACCATTTCATGTTTTCAATTTTTTATTTTTCAATTTTACCCTTTTCTTGTTATTTTTCCCTTTTCTTTAGTAAATTCAAGTATATTTAGGATTTAGCAAATTAGAATCACTTGAAAGAGAATAGTACAAATTCTAATACAAAATCTTGGATTTATCAAGTTCATATTATTAGGAGAAAATGTACAAATTATAATAGTAAATTCCAGATATATCTAGTAAATTCAGGATTTTTCAAGTTCGTATTAATAGAAAAAAGGTGAAAAATCTAATAATAAATTTCGGATATACCTGATAAATCTTAGATTTACCAAGTTCATATTAGTAGGGGAAAAGAACAGTACAAATTTTAATGGTAAATCCTTGATATATTTAGTAAATTTCGGATTTACCAAGTTCGTATTATTAGAAAAAAAGTGAAAAATCTAATATAAATCTCAAATATACTTGATAAATCTCGGATTATCCAAGTTTGTATTAATAGAGAAAAGAACATTATAAATTATAATGGTAAAAGAGGATTGTAGGACTGTTATTTTCAGTTGCATTACTAATAAAAATTCGGAGATTATTATTAGCTTCATTTCTTGTTCTTCCATGTTCTTTGAAACCTTCGATTTAATTGCACCCTCGTTTTATGATATTCCGCGTGAATAATGGACTACGAGCTTTATCCTACGCTTCTGCTACACTTCTTAGTAGAAATTTTCTTAACACCTTCCATCCTTGCCAAATTTTCAATTATACTTGCCAAACCATTTTTGTTGCATTTACGCCAAGACGATACATTTGAAGATTTTTTTCCCCAAGAAAAGTGTGGACAATATGACCCAATTTTTAACCATCAAATGTTTATCAAGTCCTGACAATTAATTGTACTTTTCTAAATATCTTATAATTCTAATGTAGTTTGACGATATATTATAATTTAATTTTTAACCATCAAATGTTTATCTGGCAATTAATTGTACTTTTCTAAATATGTTATAATTCTAATGTATTTTGACGATATAACGTGTTCGAGATGTGGCTTAGCAATAGAGTTCTAAGAACATCTCCAAGGTAAATACTATTGTCAATGGTACATTTGGTGCTACAAAATATGAAAATGGCGTATTTGATATGTTATTTTATTTGTGTTTCAATGTATAATGCTATTTTAAATATTAAATCTATTCGTCACCCGCTAGAATCAAATACTAGCTCTGTCGCTGATTGGAGATGCTCTAAAAGCTATTTTCTTTGCAATGATCTTGCAAAACTTTTTTTTTTTTTAATGTTCTCTTAACAAGTCAAATTAATTACTGGGAATTTAATGAACATCTGACGGTCAATTTAATCAATAGCTGGCATGATTTTTTTTAACAGGTTTATTATTTTTTTTTTTGAAAAATTTCATTTTAATACTCTGTATTATTGAAATATGAGTTTAGTACCCTCTGTATTTAATAATTTCATGCTAGTATCTTGACTTTTTAGAAAATTTTCTTTTAGTACTTTGGGAAAGTATTTTGAGACACAAAAAGATAAAATTACCTTTACTTTAAATATGTAAAAAAAAGCTGTCTATTATATTAAATCTATACTTTTAAATTAATAGCCATTTTTTCCTCTGCATCAATCATCAATTATTCGAAATAAATTTGCTATTTGATCAGTAGAAAGGGAGTGGGCTTCCGATGTCTATACAAATTCCCAAGAAAGTTGAAACCTTGACATAGAGGCAAATGATATTTCCCCCCACCAATACGTCTTTTGCGTACTCATCCTTAAAAAAGCTGGACTAGTAAAACTGGGTTTGGAATATAATGCAACAAATTTTCCAAAAATTCAGAGGCAAAATAGTTCGCAAATATCATAGGCAAAATAGTTAACAGCAACAAAGAAGTTGAAGAGTACATATCTAGGAAGCCATCAGCCAATAAAAAGTCAAGTATGATCCTAAACACGAAGATAAACATTATCAAAAGTAAACCGAACACAAAATTGGTAAATATTCAAAAGAAAGAGTG